CCTCCATACAGGGCCACAGGGACCTCCATACAGGGCCACAGGGACCTGAAAACAGGACACAGGGACCTGAAAACAGGGCCACAGGCAGTAATAGCTTGGAGCACGGGGCCCGGGATGTGGCTCCGTGGCTAAGCCTGGCTCAAGCAAAGGCCTTAAATCAATCCCTAGCTCCACAAAAAGCAGACTGGAGGTCACTGTCCACTGCAAGCACATCAGAGAGGGGACTCCAGGTCAGCGAGGGAAACACAGAGTCCCAGCTGACGGCCAGCAAGGGAGGCAGACGGTCACTCCCAGAAGGCATAAGTGCCCAGGCCACCAGCCACCAGAGAAAAACAAATCTAGTTTTGGCCCACTGAGCCGGGCAGCAAGGTGGGTCGGTGCTGACCCAAGCACATGAGAGTCTTGTGGAATGCTCTGCACCTTGCCGTGATAATCACCTGCCAAGGGTGGGATCTGAAGAACCAAGCCCTCCCAGGGCGATTTAACACAGAAGAAAAGGTGGATACAGGCGTCAATCAGTGTGTACTTGGCGACCTAGTAACAGTCCACTGCAGCTGTGTTTTCACAGAACCTGTGGAGGAGCCATCAGAACGTCATTTTCGGTGAAAAAAATAATACAACCAACTTTCGCATAAGATGGGATGATTTTTTAAATTTCCTTTTTACATTTTTCAAAGTTTCTACAATGAACAAGGACCACATTTATAGTCAGAAAAATAGAGGAGCCGAGCCAGTGTTATTTTGACAGGACACAGTTCTGCATGTCCACAGAGAGGGCAGGAGATGGCAGGCGTCATTGGCCAGGAGCTGGCTGGGTGGGCTTCAGGAATGCTCTGGGCCAAGGGTGAGGCTATGCTGGGGGATAAGCATTCAAATAAAAGTCAGCATTCCTAAACGGGCTCATCTGTGACCACTGCAAAGGTAGGGAAGAAGCCCAGAGCTGAAGGACATTTCCTCAGCAGGGCCAACGCAGCAGTGTCCACAAGGACAATGTCCTGCCTCCCTGGGGTCTAGCTGAAGCTATGGGGAACACCTGAGCTTCTCCCGCCTGGGCCCTCACTCCCAGGCTCCAGCGGTCTGTCTCTGGGCTATGTTGGTCCTCCTAGCTGGACAGCCCTGTCCTTCCACCTGGATGCTGTCTTCTACCTGACCAGAACCCACAGTCCTAGGGCCCGGGGCATCTGGCCTTGCAGGTGGGTCCTGTGCCCTAGCTCCACGCACCTCCTTCATCTTCATCTGTAGCACACGAAATCCAGGCTCAGGCATGGCACCAGGAGCCCGTGAGGGCAGGGCCTGACTGTTGCCCCGTCTCAGCTTTCCTGCCACACACCACAGGGGTTGCAGGGGCCCCTGCTGGACAATTGGGGCCCAGGGTCAAATGTGGACTGCAGTGGGACCGGCCGAATGCAGGCAGAGGCAGAAGCCATCAGCCCTTCCAGGCACTGAGCTGAGGCAGGCACAGAAATGGCGGGGAGGACAGGTTGGGGACCACACCAGGGCCTGCGAGGCTGCACCAGCTGGCCCCACAGCCGGCCTCACGGCCTCCTGTTTGCCTTCCAGTGGTCTCTGCCTGTGCGCAACTGGTTGCTCAGGCCCTTTTGCCCACAGCTTGTCAGCCCCATGGTTGGGTGAAGACAGGCCACGTCCATCTAGCTCCTCCGTGGGTCTCCAGTGCTGGCTCAGCCCCTGAGAGCATGTGGAAATGGTGAGTGAGTGAATGACCCCTGTGCAGTCCTGCTGTGGATGCCAGCCTGGCCAGCCTGATTACCAGCTCCTTCCAATACAGCGCTGGGCTTGGGGCCCTGCTGACCAAGGCCCCGAGCCCAATGCAAAGCTGTCCTGACCACCTCGCCACCTCTCCTGTGCTTCGTCCTCAGACCCTCTGCACTTCCGGAAATGCTTCGGGAAGGCAGGACACCTGCTGAGCCACCCGTGGATTTTCTCTCCTTTCTGTGGCTGAGCTTTAGGACATGTACTGAGCTGAACAGGCCAGGATACGGACGTGAGCAGCCACGGGCAAGCAGAGTCTGATGGAGGTGTCCACTAGCTGTCACCCAGACAAACAGCAAAGGACAGGTCCAAAACCAAAAGCCCTCTTCTCCCGTGGCTCCACTCAACCGTGTGGACGAGCACTTGGCCCACCTGGGGAAAAGCCGCAAAGTCAAGTCGTCCCACTAACGTGGCTGCCCCTCAAAAAGGCCTTTCAAAACCAGCAGAGGACCGAGTGCCAGGCCCCACTGCGGCCCTCCCACCATCCTGAGGCGAAGGCCTGGACACAACCCATGGTGGGCACCAGGCCCCACTGAGTGCCCACTGACCCAGCCACCGAGAGGGCCGCTCAGCTACAGAGGAAGCAGGACTTGTCCAGAGTAGCTTGGAGAGGAGAGTCAGAAGCAGGGACAGGTGGCAGTACTGGGCGTGGGAGGCGCTTTGCCAACCAGCAGGAGCTCGCAGTGTTGGGAGCAGTCACAGTTTTCCAAACAGTTCAGCATACAGTCACCACATGACCCACCACTCCCCACTCAGAGGGGCCCCCAGGGAGCAAAGACGCCACCCGACTCTCAGGGCAGCAGCACTCGCGGTGGAAATGGAAAAGGCACGCCTTGTACTGTGAGTGGGGAAGCGAAGGTGGCCTTCCTGGCAGTGGACACTACTCAGCCATGAAAAGGAGCCAACAGTTGGGGCTACAACGCAGGCAAACCTTGACACCACTACGACTCCACCGATGAGGCCCAGAGTGGGCAGTCTGCAGGGAGGGACCACAGGATCCAGGGGCTGGGGCCATGCAGACGCAGCTACTGCTGCCCAGAACCTGGCCCAGCCCCAGGGCGGTGGCGGGCACAGGGTCCTGGCCAGCTCTCACACACAGCATGGGGGACAGTACTGTGTACAGCCAGGAAGAAGCTTCCTTACCTTGGTCCCAAACCATGCCCCTGGTGTGGGGACCCTCCCCAAGACCTGCTTGCCTGCCTCTCACACAGGCTGCTCCCCGCCCTGGCCCTCATCTGGCCCCATCCTGCTGTGGGCCCTTTGCTGTCCTCCCAGCCTCCAGCACAGCCCTTCCTCTCCTTGCCTCCTCTGCCCACTTGCCTGGTGGCCCCCAGGACAGCCCCCCGTCCTGAGGCAGTGCCACCCAGCCATGCCTGCACCTCCCAACACTCCAGAGAAGCAGGGCATGACCTTGCCCCAGGGTCGCTCTAGAACCTGCTGTGCTCAGGACAGACCTGGGGAAGAGGCCAGGGAAGCAGGGCCTCAGGTCTAAGGAATGAGCATTGCCAGGATCCCACAGACCCCAGTCCAGCCAGGGCCACCAGCCCCCGCCCCGCAGAGAGGGGAGGGGAGAGCCCAACCTCCCCCTCCAGAGGGCCTGCAAGCGAACCCAGGCAGGCTGAAGTCCTGAGAATGTTCCCATTTGGTCAGCAAAGAGAGGTGGACAGTGTAACCAGCCATGGCCAGTGGCCTTGGGCAGGCCATGAATGCCCCAGCACTCACCACTGCCCAGTCCACCTACTCATGGGTCACACCAGGGTAGAGATTGGCCCTGCCGCAAAAGAGAGTGGATCCAGGGCTTGGCACTGTGTCCATATCACCTGAAAGCCACCAGGAACATCAAGGTCAGGCCGGGGTGTCACCCTGGCTGATCAGCATCCTGTGGGTGCCTCAGGGCCAGCTACTCCCGGCCCCTCCTACACAGCCACACGCCTGGGCCTGGGCCAGCTCCTGCTGTGGTCTCCAGTCTCTGGTGGGAAACGCTCTGAGGCTCTGAGAATCCGGCGCAAGTCATGCTCCCCATGCAGAGGACCGTCTGGTCCTGGAACAGAGCCAGCCCTTACCTGGAGCCTGGCCGGTGCTGGGGTTGGGCTTGGGTCCCATCTGCTGGCGGACTCTCCCTTCCGGGCGCAGAGGGCTTCCCAGGATCCCGCTCCCTGGCCTCCGGCTCCTCCTGCAGGCCCGTGGCCTGGCCCTCTGTGTGCGGCCTGCTTGCCGAGTCCTCCTGGGGGCCGGAGGCGTGTGCCAGGCACTTGCTAGAAGCCGAGGCCTTGCCCTCCTGTCTGTCGGAGGCGTCTTCCACTGGCAGGATGGCTTCAGGGGCAGGCTGGGCCTCGTCCAGTCCCTCGGGGCCCTTGTCGCTGGCCTTGGCCAAGCCTGTGGCAGGGTGCGAGGCACTGATGACGCTCCCTGGGCCACACTTCTCCCGCAGGTGCTCCACCGCGTCCTCCCGGCCGTCCCCGCAGCTCCCACAGCACACGCAGGAATGGAGGAGGCAGCTGGTGGCCGCAGCGCTGAGTTTGTGGGAGCTTCCCCCAGCCCCCCGGGCCCCGGGCTCCAGTGGGGAAAGGCCGTGGCCTGGAGCTTCCTGGGTGGCCACTGCAGAGTCCAGGGAGGAGGGTGACTTGGGGTTGAAGATGACAGTGGCCGAGAGCTTCATGCCCCCCGTCCGGTGGGCGATCATCTCAGCCGTCTCGGCGTCATCTGCACTCACCTCCCAGCCGTCCAGGGACAGCTGTGAGTCCAGGCAGCTGCAGGTCGAGCTGGGCAGGGCGGCCAGCCTCCTGTGGTCACCCTCATTGTTGTTATTGCTCCAGTCCTCCCCCTTCACCACAGCAGGTTTGCTGACCCCCTCCTCCTCGCTCTGCCCGCCCTGCCGGCTCTCCTGGGGGCCGGTCCCAGCACTGTCTGCCCACCCAAACGGAGCACCTGGCGACTCCAGCCTGGCAGGGGCCTCCACCGCCTCCACGTCGTCCATGAAGAACACCCGCTCCTCCTCGTCACTGCCCGACTTCAGCCGCGCTCTGCCTGGAGAAGCCTCCCCTCGGGGGCTGCCCTCTGCCCCTGGCCTGTGTGCCGGGGACTGGCAGGCACTGGGTGGCGAGAGCAGAGATGACATCTCGTCCCCAGCCCGGTGGACCATGCGGCTGAGCGCCTCCAGCTCCTGGTCATCGTACTGCATGGAGCAGGCCAGCTCTGCCTCTGGGTTCCTGGCCTCGGCTGAGAGTGGCTCCTCAGGGGGAAGGGATGCGGGAAAGGCAGGTGCCAGGGCAGTGGGCACCGGGACGTCTGCCCGGATGGGGAGCTCCACGTCCTGGCAGACACAGAGGCTCCGCTCCAGGGTATGCAGCTCCTCCTCCGTCAGCGCCTGCAGCAAATCCCTGCAGGGAAAGAAGAAAACAGGCCTGAGGCCCTCCACAGCAGAGTCCTCCGCCAAACAGGGACACAGGCCCCGCAGAAGGGGACCAGGCAGCCCAGCTGGCAGCGGAGTCCAGGACACCCAAGGGGACCACCCAGGCTCTCCTCCATGCCTCACCCAGGAGCGCCCACGCTGGCTCTGAGACCTCTCACTGCAACAAGAAAGCCCTAATTCTTAGGAATGTGTTGACTGCATGAATACAATCCTCAAGGAGTGAAAAAAATATGTTGGCTCATATGTAGATTTTCACCCTTTTATTTAACACGAATCACCCAGCTCCAACCACGTGCCAGGCTCTGGGTGCTGAGGTAGGCAGGGAGCGGCGAGTGTGTCCCTGCCCTCGTGGGGGCCCCTCAGTTGTGTGCGGCAGACAGTGAACAACCTTCTGTGCAGTGACTGGATCACAGTGGTGACAACAGGAGGGGAGGAAGGAGGGCTTCCTGGAGGAAGGGGCACCAAAGCTGGCACCAGGAGCTGCGGTCACCCTGGTGGCAGTGAAGGGTGAGCTTGGAGCAGGGCCTGCAGGCTGGTGCCTGTCATTTCCTGCTGGAGAAGTCCAGGCCACACCTGAGTTGAGCCCCCACTGACAATCCCAGTGGGCAAGGAACGCCACGGTGCTCAGGGGGTCCAGTTCAGGAGCCGACTGACCACCACGCCAAGAGAGGGCGTTCAGACCAGAAGTAAAACACCAGCCAGGACCCCAGGCCCTCGCAGTCACCCCTTCACACTCACTAAAAAGGTGTTTGTAGTTAGTGTGACGTCCACGTTAGCTGGGGCCATGCCTCTGGTCCCCTGCTAGATACAGCAGCTCTCTGAAGGGAGGCCACACCACGAGGCACCTTGCTGTGGACACTCAGCCCCTCTCTTTTTTTTGAAGAGCGGTGCTGGGGCTAGAACCCAGGGTCTTCCACATGCTGGGCAGGCCTCTACCACCGGGCTGCATCCACCCGCTCTCAAGGCTCCAGGGTCTCTGCTGTTTACCTCCCTGTGTCCGTGTTCGGGCTGCCGCGGCCTCTGCGGCTGACCACCTCGCTTGGGGAACTTGCATGTGCACTCCCCTCCTCCACACAGGAGGGGACACCTGGACCACAGTTTGGGTGAGCATCTGGGACACAGAGCTCTGCCCGGCAGGCCCTCAGGACTCTTGATAGTTTTAATGGATCCTCTCCGGGGAGTGCACAATACACCTTATCGCAGACCCCAACCTGGTGGCTCATGAGGCTGAGCACTGTTGACACACGTGCCATCCCTTAGATATCCTCTGTGGGAAGTGCCTGTTCAAGTCTTTTACCCATTTTTATTGGGCTGTCTTCCTTAATGATGGATTGGAGATCTTACGTATTTTGGATGTGAGTTGTTATTGGATATATTCTTCACCTCTGTAGCTTGTCTTCTCATTCTCTTCATAGTGTCTTTTGGTAAATCAGAGGTTTCAATTTTAATAAAGGCAATGTCACTTTTTTTTTTTTTTTTTTTATGGTTAGCACTTTAGGGTCCTATTTAAGAAACAGGCACATGTTAGCACATGTTTGTAACCCCAATGGCTCGGGAGGCTGAAGCAGGAGGACTGATTGCAAGTTTAAAGACCAGCCTCAGCAACTTAGCAAGGCCCTAAGTAACTTAGTGAGACCCTGTCTTCAAATAAAACATTTAAAAAGGTCTGGCAATGTGGCTCAGTGGTTAAGCACCCCTGGGTTAAATCTCTGGTAAAAAAAGAAAAAAAGAAAAGAAATCTTTGCCTAATCTGGGGCCACAAAGATGCTCTCCTTGATATCCTCTAAAAGCTCTAAAAAGCTCAAAAGCTGGGGTTGGGGTGGTGGCTCAGTGGTAGGGCATTGTCTAGCATGTGTGAGGCACTGGGTTCCATCCTCAGAACCACATAAAAATAAATAAAAATAAAATAAAAGTATTGTGTCCATCTACAAGTAAAAAATATATTTTTTTAAAAAAATAGCTCTAGAAGCTGTTTTGCTGCCCATATTTATATCCGTACTGTGTCTAGCAGTGATCTTGCATGTGGCTGGGGTAGATCCAGAGATGAAGAAGTCCCTGGGACAAGCCGTGTTTTGGGAGACCTGCTGGCAGGTGAGCAGCCTGGAAGTGCCCAGCCTGCAGTGACACCAGTGTGAGCTGGGGACCCAGGACAGTCTCACCCAGGAGACAGGGGACACTGCTGAGCTTGTTTAGAAAACAAAGACAAGGCTCCTGGGGTGCGGTGCATGTTGTCCTAAATGAGGGGACTTATGGAGGATTTCACATACAGAAGGGTTTTGAATAATGAATTCAATGTTCTTAACATATATTGTTCTTTTTTTAAAAAAAATTTTTTGAGAGGAGAGAGAGAGAGAGAGAAGAGAGAGAATTTTAATATTTTTATTTTTTAGTTTTCGGCGGACACAACATCTTTGTTTGTATGTGGTGCTGAGGATCGAACCCGGGCGGCACACATGCCAGGCGAGCGCGCTACTGCTTGAGCCACATCCCCAGCCCCATATATTGTTCTTAACAGAGATTTTCTACCTCTTCTTCTGCCAGCTTTGGTTACTTTTTGAGGAGATTATCCTTTTCATTTGAATTGCTCAATTTATTGATAGAAAGTTGTTCTCAGTATCAACTTAAGAAACTCACCACTTTTATCAATCTTTTTAAAGAACAACTTCTTGGCTCTGTTAATTTTCTCTACAGTACACTTGTTTTCTATTTCATTGATATCTGTTTTGTTATTTCTCTTCTGCTTTCTTGAGATCTATGATAAACATTATTTTCTAGTTGCTTTAAATAAAATTTAAATTTTATATAAAAGAGTCCATCTTGTCTTCTAATTTATGTGTAATGCTGTCAACATTCACTTCTATCAATCCATATCATGACCTTCAGTCTCTTTTATGTTTGCATTTCTATCTGAGATCATCTTTTCCTTTTTCTGAAGAACTCTAATAAGTTTTTTGTTGTTTTTTTTTTACATACAGGTTGCTAATAACAATTTCCCTTGGTTTTATGTTTTGGAATAATTAATTTTTTAATATCTTTATTTTCTATTTATCTATGTGGTGCTGGGGATCGAACCTATGGCCCCGCACATGCTAGGTGAGCGCTCTACCGCTGAGCCACAGCCTCAGCCCCAAATTCACTATTTTTTTTTTTGTGTGTGTGTGGAGATTTTTTTTCTTTATTGAGAAACTTAAGACTTGGGTACATCAAATAAAACCAATTTCAGGGGGAGGCAGGTAATGACCAAATCCCATAGTAGAAAAAAAAATTAACACTGTCTGGGCTATAGTAGAACCCAGAGAATATATTCTTATAATTGAAAAATTCTAGGCATTTTCATAATTGACCTTTTGATACAAAATGACCTAATAAATTTGTAACTTGTGGTTCTTGATGTTGAGGTCCATAGGACAAGCTAGGAAGTCTTCAAACCTTGAGCTGATTTCCACCAGGGGTTATTTGGCTTTTGAACTGGTTTTTCCTCGTCTAAGAGGTAGCAGCAGCAACAGCGCCCACCTTCTGGGCAGCTTCTTTCTTGGCATGATGAGCTTGTAGAACCGCCACAGCTTCATCCACCTTGGAGCGGAGAGACTCAGGGGACTCCAGCATGTGTAGCAGCTCAGAGTTGTCAATTGAAGGATATTTTTTCTGGTTAGAAATGCTGATTGGCGGTCATTTTCTCTCGGCACTTAAATACGTATCATTTTGTGGCGGGCTGGCTCCCGTTATATCATTTGTTTTTTGAGAAGGTGTCTCTCTTCCATTTCTTTCAAAGTGCCAAGTCCTTTTCTCTTGCTTCTTTAAATTATTTTTCTTCGACTTTGCAATTTTATTGTGACAGATCCAGGAATGTTCTGAGCATATCTTGCTTGGTGTTTTCTTAAACCTCCTGAATCTTCAGGTAGATTTCTCCCTATCAGTCTTAGAATATTCCTGTCCACTATTTCTTTGGAGGTTTCTTCTGCCGTCCTCCCTGCCTCCCCTGGGCCTCTGCGGTGCGTCAGGCCAGGTGCTGTGCATTCTCTGGGCCGTGTTCTGCGGTGGTCCTGTTTTTCCTGGTTCCCTGCGCTTCACCATGGCTCTGTCTACTGAGCTCTCTTCAGGTTCATCACCCTGCGTTCTGCTGGGTCCAATCGCTACCAAGCCCATCCACCATGTCCTTATCTTCACATTATGAATCTAGGCCATCTGTTTCTTCTTTATAGATTCTGATTCTCTAATTCCTCATCCTCTTACCTGATTTCTCCCTTTCTTCTATTTTCTTTAATACAGCAATCCTAACTGTGTTCAAGTCTGTGGATATTAACTCTAAAATCCAGATCGTCTTCAGTCTGCATCAATTTTCTGGCTCTTCTTTTGATCACAATTATATTTTCTTGCCACTTCACATTTTTAGCAATTTGAGATTAGATAATTGACACTGTATTAATCAAGAAGTGACAGATGTGCTTTCTTCTACCCAAGGGAATGCCCTTTCCTCTGTTAGGTGTGAGGGTCCATGACCACACTGAGTTCAGATATCAAGCCAGTTGAGGACCCAGTGACAGCTTCAGTCTATCAGCACTGCTGAGCCTCGAGGGTCGCTGGCCACACAGACCCCAGAGGCTGCAGGAAACCGAGCTCTGCCTGTCCCCATGTAGCTTCAGAGTCTGTCAGAATCTCAAAGGGAGGCCTAGGGTGTGTCACAGACACGCTTTTGTCTCCTAAGCCTCCCCTGCTGCTGGGGAGCTTTCTGCCCAGATTACTGCCTCCCCAGAACCTGGCAGGGACGCTCAGCCCCTGGCAACTGGGTTCCCTCCTTCAGAAGAGATTCTCTGCCTGGAAAACCGAGCTTTGGACAATCACCGACACCTGCCTGGAATCATCAGATGTTTCCCAGGAAAAACAGGGCGAGGCAAGATGGCAGACCTTCTCTCTGGAAGCGTTCTCGGCTCTCCCGATTCTGGCTCATCCGACACTCCCTGTCACCATTCCGTGCCTTACAACACACTTTGCAGCTTACTTTTTTCTACTGTTGCAGTTGGAGAATCAGCCTGCTATGATCTGAGGCATCCTGTGGCAACCTCTCTGTCCCAAAGCAGGAGTCCTGCCCACATTTTTAAAGACATGTGAAGACAGCCAGTCATGCCTGCACTCTTTAGATCTCTTCCTTTTTTCTATTCTTGCTTTCTTCTTCTTATTTTTTTTTTTAATTAGGGACTAAACCCAGGGCCGTCTGTATGCTAGGCAGGCAATCTACCACTAAGCTGCTGCCCCATCACCTTATGGGTCTCTCCCCACCCCACGCCGTCCCCACATCCCCAGCACCCACCCTGTCCCTCCTACAAGAACCCCATCTGCTGAGGCCCCGCCCCCTCCTTCCTGGCCTGTCCCTCACCTCCCCTCTTGTACCACTTCTCCTCTTCTAAATAGCTCCCCAGAGAGGGCAGGACCTAAGCCTCTGTGTCAAGGCCCATCTTCTCCCCAGAGGATCAGGGAAGCAGTCAACAGCCACCATGAAGCACAAACCAGATGAAGCACCTCCCACCCCAAGCTCACCAACTCACCAAGGGCCACCCACCAAGGTCCCATGACCTCGAGACCCCATTCTCACTAGGAAGCCCACAGCCCAAAAGGCCATGTTCACTGTCTGGATCCTCCCAGGACATGGTTCTGTGCTCTCTGGGTCTCCAGAGAAACCTTCCCTGTCTGGCCATGCCTGGGACTGTCCTGTGCTGGGCAGATTCTAGAGCCTTGGGATGTCCTGCCAGACCCAGGGAGGGGGCTGCAGGGAACAGGGCCACCAGCCTCACCACATCCAGGAGCAGGGCCCCTGGAGGAACAGCTGGGTGTCCAAGGCCACAGGCCAGGGAGGCCCTCAGAGGACTCACGGTCATGGCCTTCATGCCACTGCTAGCCCTCACTGCTGGGCCCTGTCAGCTTGGGGAGGCCACTGGGCAGAGACCTCAGTCACACAATAGAACGTGTGCAGTCTCAGAAGGGCTCCAACACAGCAGCACAAACCTTGCAGCCAACAACTAAAGACCACAACCGACTTGTGGGCACCGGAGGGGAGCGTCAGGGTGTAGGAGAAGAGAGGGCCAGCCATGAGTGCCTGGTGCCTGCGAGGTGGGCAGAGTGAGGCTCCGCACTTGGACCACTCAGCTAGAGAGGCCCAGTGGGGACCAAGAGCAGGCTGGTTCTGGCCACCACGAGGCCACGCAGCACCCGGGAGACTGGGAGAGGCTGAGCACTGGGCTCAGCCCCTGCTCCTCCCGCTCTGCCTGCCCCCAAGTCCCACCTGATTTTCCGTAGCAACGAATGGAAGGGACGGAACAGCTCGGACATGTCCTCCACCTTGCGGTCCAGGTTCAGGGGTCCATCCGCATAGACCACGAGGCCACTGCAGTTGAGACACAAAGCCAGTGTGGTTAGCCCTGAGGGCCTGGTAAGCTGGGACCCCAGTCTTACACCCTGTGGCTGGCCCAACACTGGTCAGCACAGCCTGGGCCTGGGCCTGCGCCTGGGTCAGGTCCTAAACAAGTTTAGAAAAAGGCAATTAAAGTTATTACCCAGACTTCACCATCTTTGAAGTTCATTAGCTTGTGTTCATGGGAGTAGTCATAAAATAATCAAAAGAACATACTTGTACCCATCAGCATTGCAATCAGAGAAATTAGCATCAAGGTTTGCTGGGAAAACCTATCTCCTTGGAAACGGAAGAACTGGAGTTGTGTTTGAATTTGTCTATGGAGGCTTATGAGAGGCAGCCCCAACCTGTCTACCCCAAAAGCAAGTTGGAGAACGGAGGCCCTGTGTGGGTCACCCCTCGCCACCACCTCCACCTGGGGAAGCTGTCCCCTAGCACAGTGCCCATGGCCCAACAGGCCCGCCCTGCCAGGACTGGGCTCTCTGCCCGTCACTTCCTGGCTCTCTGCTGAGTGCCTGCTGAGGCCAGCCTTGCTCAGTGCCCCCTAGGCAGCCCCAATTCCATGGCAACACGTTTGCTCCCACAGCCCACCAGGCACTGTGCAGCCTGCCCAGCTCCAAGGGCACCTCTGTCAGCATCTCAGGAAGCTGCCACCATAGCTGCTGCCCCCCAGGGCTTGGGGACGCAGGCACCACACTCCTTCAGGCCACAGCCAGGTGCAGGCCTTTCCAAGGAGGAGGAGGGCAGTACCTAGAGCCAGGCCGGCAGGCATGGCCACACAGAAGGCCCACCGGCCCAGGCGAACCCGGGAGGGAACGTCTGGAGATGGGTCAGGCCCAGGCCCCACCGGCCAGTCTGTCTGTCTGTCTTTCTTTCTTTTTAGCTTGCAGATGAAACTCACACAGCACACACTTGACCGGCTCCAGGTGCACAGTGGTGCCATTGAATAAGCTCCCATGCACTGCGCTCACCTGCTCCAGGTCTCTTCAACACCCCAGAAGACCTCCTGCAGCACCCCACCATCCCCTGGCCTCGGGCAACCCTGGTCTACTCTCCACCTCTAGGGAATCACCTGTTCGGGACACTTCCTGCAATGGAATGACGAGCAGGTGACTGTATAAGTCTGGCTGCCTTCACTCAGCACCACGTGTCAAGGTCCCTTCATGTGTCAGTGTTTCGTGGCCCTTACAACTGAGTCACATCCGCTGTGCGCACCACGTCTTTACCCATTCATCCCAGCGACCGCTGGGTGGTTTCCTCCATAAACGACAATGTGTGAGCGTGGTGTGCTTACATTTCTCTTGGGGATGTGCCTAGCAGGGTAGTGTCACCACATGGGTCACGCAATTGTCTGTTCACAGAACCATCTAACTTTTATCCACAGCGGCCGCACCACTTCACACTCCCGCGGGCAGCACACATGGATCCCTGCTCTTCCATATCTCCTTCTTTCAGTGTTCTGTATTGTGGCTGTCCCAGTGGGCAGAGTGGCATTAACTGAGGCTTTGATTTGCATTTCTTTAGACAGTGATGTTGATCATCTTTTCACATGCTTGTTGGCTATTTGTATATCTTTGGAAAAATATCTATTCAAGTCTTTGCCCTATTTTGGTGGGGGGTACTGGGGATTTAATCCAGGGGTCATTTACCACTGAGCTACACCCCGGGGCCTTTTATTTTTTGAAAGAGGATCTCATTAAGTTGCTGAGGCTGGCCTCTAACTTGTGATCCTCCTGCCACAGCCTCCTAAGTAGCTAGGATTACAGTGCATGCAACGGTACCTGACTTTGCCCATTTTTTAGTAGGACTGTTTGTCTCTGTGTTAAGTTGTAAGGGTCCCTTATATTTTCTGGATACTAAATCTTTATCAGATACATGGTTTTAAAATATTTCCTCTTATCCTTTAGGTTTTCTTTTCACTTTCATGATAATATCCCTTGATACACAAAAGCTAATTTGAATGAAGTCCAATTTGCTTATTTTTCTTTTCACTATTGATGCGTTTAGTGTTAAATGAACTACCAAATGCATGAACATGAAGATTTACCCCCTGCATTATTTAGAGAAAGAGAAAGGGGGATAGGGAGGGAGGAAGGTACATAGAGGGAGACAGATGGGGGGGTTGAATCTGGAATGTCCCCCAAAACCTCATTTGTTCAGAGGTGGGGCTTTGAGGAAGCAAAGAAATCCTGAGGGTTCTGACCTCACGGGATTAACCCCCTGGGAGTGTGACCTTGTTGGAGGAAGTGGTCCCTGGAGCTTTCCCTGGAAGGGTTATCTTCTCCCTGGCCCCTTCCTACATCCCTCTGCCCCTCTCCCTCCCTCCCCCCCCCCCCCCCCCCCCCCTCCCCCCCCTCTCCCTCCCTCCCTCCTGCGAGCTTCCCTCCACCTTCCCTCCACCGTGCCCTCTATCCTCATGTTCTGGCTCACCTCAGGCCAAGACCAAGGCAGCTGACTGACCATGGACTGGATCCACTGAAACAATGAGCCAGGATAAAGTTTTCCTTTCCTAAGTTGTTTGTATCAGGTAATTTGGTCACAGAAATGAAGAGCAAAGACAGAGAGAGGAGCATTTAATTTAAGGATCTGGTTGACAAGGCCAGAGAGCCTGGCAAAATTTGCAGGGCAGGCCAGCAGGCAGGCTAGAGACTCGGAGAAGAGTTGACACTGTCGCGAGTCCCAAGCCTTCTAAAGGAGAATGCTCTCTCACACAGGGGATTTCAGTCTATTTCCCTATGTCCTTCAACTTAAAGATGAGGACCACCACAGTGTGGAGGGCAATCTTCTGTACTCAAAGTCTACTAATTTAAATGTTAATCTCATCTTTAAAACGCCTTTACAACAACATCCAGATGGTATTTGGCCATCTAAGTGGGTACTGAAGGCTTGCCAAGTTGAGACATAAATCTAGCCATCTCTGGGTCCAACTCTGTTATTTGCATGAGACCATCTGGTTGTCCCAGCAGGGGAATGTCCTTTCATAAGTGAATGGTCTTGGTGCCCAGGTCAACTGGCCACAGACGTCTGCATTTATTTCTAGATTCTCAGTTCTATTCCACTGGTTTTCAATCTACCCTAAAGCCAGCGCCTCACCTTGTTTTTCTGTTTTGATATTCTTATGCTCATTCAGGCCACTGAAGTCCATCTGAATTTGAGGAACAGCTTTTCCATTTATGCAAACGGGGGGGGGGGGGGTGGTAGGATTTTGATAGGGATTGCATAAGATCTGTAGATCAATTTGAGGAGTCTTGCCATCCCAACTAGACTGTCTTCCCATCCATGAACGTGGGCTATCTTTCCATTTTAGTAGATCTTCCATTTTTCACCAATGCCTGGTGATTTTCAGTATTCGTGTCTTTCACCTCCTTGGTTAAATTTATCCCAAGGTATTTTATTCTTTTGAATGTTTTGGAAATCTCATATTTAAAAGAACACTTAACCATATACAATGTATTATTACTCAGCCTCAAAAAGGAAATTCTGACACATGACAACATGGGCAAACCTTAAGGCCACTATGCTAAGTGAAATACGGCAGTCATAAAATGTGATTGCACTTATGGAGGACCCTAGGATAATCAAATCCATAGAGACATAAGGCAGGATGGTGGTTATCAGAGACCAGGGAGAGAAGAATGAAAGTTAGTGTTTAGCGGAGACAGAGTGTCTGTGGAGAAGGGAGCAGGATGGTGGTGACTGTTGCACACAATGTAAATGTCCTCAATGACACTAAATTGTACACCCAGAAAGTTTTAAAATGATAGATTTTATGTTATTCTTATATTACCATAATAATGGAAGAAATTTAGTGCTTTGCATTCTGTTTCCACAAGCTTCATCTGTTAAGAAATTTTGAAGATGTACAGTAAAGACGGTGGCGCTACATGATGGCAGGCTAGAGGGAGGCTGCGTTTCCAGTGGCTCCATGGCTGGGGATCCAAGCAGGGGGAGTGCTGCTCTCAGTGACGTGGGTGAAAGAGGGAATTCACTCAAATTCAATATCGGACAGTCAGTCTCTTAGAGACTCAGAAATTCGGTGCATTAAACCAAGAACAAGAAAGAGCACGTTGGGGGCAGTGGCACATGTCTGTAATCTCAGAGGCTCAGGAGGCTGAGGCAGGAGGATCATGAGTTCAAAGCCAGCCTCAGCAAAAGAGAGACCCTGTCTCTAGATAAAATACAGAAAAGGGCTGGGGATGTGGCTCAGTGGTTAGTGCCCCTGAGTTCGATCCCCGGTACCCGACCCCCTCAAATAAGAAAGAGCACATTGGGGCCAAGCTGGTTGCAGCAGCAGCAAGGCTGGTTCACCAAGGTGAGGGAAAACACGGAGAGAAGCACAATGGACAGATCTGGCACAGGAAAACCTGCAGATCCCACAGCAGCCTGGACTCCGGGGATCCAGAGGCGGCACAGTAAACTGGTTGGCCACGCGCCCTGTTTCCCAACCTGCTACAGAGAGTGGAGGCAGGAGCCTCGCTGCAGCTTGCTGCGGGAGCTGGAAGCGCGTAGCCAACACTGCCCTGTTGTCCTGGCCAGCGCCTACCATGTGGCCTAGGGTGTACCTAGCAGAACACAAGTGACGCGGCACAGAGAAGACTGTACCCAGGGGAGCGCGAGTCAGAAAGGAGGAGAGTGCAGCTCACTTTCCCTTGGAGCCTGGGGGCTCAGGTGACCATCTGAAGAGGGCCGGGAACCCAGACCTGTTGATGGGACATACGCTCAGGGACTAAGCCTGGGGAGACTGCGTCTTGGGCAGTACCGTGTGGGACCTGAGAGGAGTGGCTCACCTGTCCCTCAAGTAGAACCCGCAGGAGCTCCTGAGATCCAGACTCCCAGCAGAGCCCGGCATCTGTGAAGGCCTAAGGTGGGTTGGTCTAACCTCTCCAGAAGAGATACCACCCAAAGGTCCCAAAGGCTGATTAGTTCTGATCCCTATCACCAGAACTTCCCTCTTGGGACTTGCAGCAGCTGCA